AGAGTTGCTCGCTCCCGTCGATTTTTCGCTTTTTGAGGGTCCAGATGGTGTTGGACCTCCTTTGCTCGGTGAGTATTAACAGTTAATAACTATCTATTCATTTTGTTGCAGACGTCGATTGCCTTAGTCTTATTTAGCCATTTATGGCCATTCTATCTTTTTTACTACAGATAGTAGTTCACTTAGAAAGGATGAATCCTCAACTAAAAATGCAAAAGTTTTAGCTACATCAGATAAATTATCTGTGAAGCAATCAATCAATCGCCGTGCGAATGAAAAAAGCTGTAATAGAAATAAGTCTCGTTATGCGGTCTCCGATGTAGAGCCTAGTTCTTCAACTATCCGGCCATCAGACAATTCTAATGTTATTCACTTTATTAAGGAACTGGGTGCTAACTCGAATTCTTCAGGATTACCTGTTTCTTCCTCGTACTCATGTACGAATACTTCTGATACAACAAAGTCTCCGCTGGTTCATCTTACATCAAACCATAAATCCTCTAACGACAAAAACTCTGATTCTGTCCTTCGTTCCCTAACTGCTCAACTTTCCACTCTTATGACGTCTCGGTCTATGTCCTTGTCACAGGGATTAACAGAACAACTAAATCCTCAGCATACAATGACCCAACAAAAAAATGCTTGTAACCTGGCCCAACTTCGTGTATCACATCTACCGGAAACTTCCGTCCCCCCAACTGATCGCGCCATGGTTTCTCTTATGTCTCGAGACCCAATTGGCGATAAATGGCTCTCACCATCTGGTCATCGTGTACCGCGACTCTCAGCTGCTCAGCGCCGTTGTCTTTTGCAATATCTGACTCTTGGCCGCATTGAAGCGCCCTTATCTTCAACCTCCATTGCTGTGGCTCACGGTTTTGGCTGGTCTAGACTGGTCGAAACAGCAGCTAGGGCATTGATTGACAATATATGGTCTGGTCTCCATTGCGCAGATGCTCAGGGGCTTCCAACTTGTAACGGTCAAAGGTAAGCCACCTTTCAGCTTCACTCATTTTCATGTATATTTCATATCATGTTGGTGATATTAGTTGTAATAACTTTTATTGACATTTTAAATATTGCTTTCGTATGAACCAAAACTATGCAATATGCTTGTCAGATGTAGGAAGTACATACCATTTTATAGTCTTGCTGTCTGCCATCTGTAGGAAGCTTATCTGAAATTATTTATGT